CAACCAAGGTGCCAACTTGTTCGTAGCTCTGGGACTCTATTTGACTCTAAGATGACAACGAGAGGCCTTGGATTTTATGTCTCTCAGAATGACATCCACTTCCCAAGGAGAAACATTCTCCGAAACACACAAAAAAATCATAATCCTGTTGTCATTCTCAATTTCAACCTACTGAAACTTATGAATATATATGCACAAAGGCAAGCAAGTGTGATGGCTAGAGCTTTCCCTTAGAGAGTGGATGACATTGAAATATATGGTATAAGTCCATCCAAAACTCGACCTTTGTCATTGCAAAGCACAACCGCCATGGGGAAGAGTTCTTCTTCACTACCCCTTGGGAATAATTAACTAGCTGGAAAATGCTATAAACTCTAATTTTTTACTAAATAAATTATCAAATGTCTCATATGGACCCCACACTCATATGGGACATTTGGTCGTTTATTTGGTAGAAAATTTTATATCTTTAGCATTACCCTAACTAGTTTGACTCTTCCTTGATTAATATATGAAGGAAAATGATATATAACAATATTTTATAAATCTATTTTTTAGACCCGGAACTATATTGGCCAACCAAGTAGGGTATTCAGATACCAATAGGAACCCTGCGTCAATTTGCTTGGTGACCTTTTCTTTGATCTTCAGAGCCCAGTCCGGGCGGATTCTTCGGAGCTTCTGCTTAACAGGTCGGGCCTCTGGGTCAAGAAGGATCCGGTGCTGTACAATCACAAGATCGATTCCAAGCATGTCTTCGTAGGACCACGCGAAAACATCTTTGAAATCTTTTAATAAAGCGACTAAGCGCTCGCGCTCCTCCGAAGACAACGTGGACCCGATCTGGACTAGCTGCGGGTCCTTCTCAGTACCAGCATTAATTGTGGTGATTTCATCAACCAAGGGTTTTACAAACCTCTCATGCTCTTGATCAATCAAACGTTGTAAAACCGGAGGAATTTCTTCCTCGTCATTTTCAATAAAATTTTGAAAGTCTTGCTTAGTGCATTAAATTAAAGGCACAGAAAAGTACTCGGAAGCCACAGCTGTACTATTCTCATTAATAACATCCAGTCCACCTGATTTCTCTATTACAACAGACTCAAAGGAAAAAGAAAAAGACGACCTGGACAGGATAGTGGCATCCAAGTTATCACCCCCAAGAATACCGGACTCAGACTCAAACGAGCTGGAACCTGATTCCGACTTCACAGACTCAGTGGAATCAGATTCCGGCTCACTACCTGACCCGGTGCTGCTCGATAAAAAGCCCTCCTCATATTGCCAGACGAGGGATGGTGCAATGGATGCATCAAGAATGCCTGAAGATGGGCCCACAGCAGCTTCATTCCCGATCATGGAAACTTAGAAGTTATCCCCCAAGCACTTCGGTACGATCTGAGGATCTGCGAGGAGACAAGCCAGCGCTACCCCCATCTCAATTTCTGTGCTCTCGGAATCCTCCTCCTTGTACTGCTCAGCCTCAGCTGGTGGGTCTATCTGCTCTTCGGCAACTTCATTCCCAGACAACTGCAAGTCAAAGAAAATCTCAAATCCCGGCAAGCATCGCCTCTCTGCGTTTAGCTATGGCTCCGGAAAGCTGCAAAACGAGAAGTCTTCCCCCTCCTGGACAAAGCGTCCGTTCAGGGTCCCCTAGATAGGCCGGTGCACTAACTCATAATGCTTCCCGGCTTGCTTTGCCTTGGCTCTTCCGGCCATCTATCTTCCTTTCCTCGCCCAATCCTCTTTGGTAGGCAGATAACCTAAGCCAAAGGTAAATGGGTTGTGCGACACTTCGGTCGATGCTGCAACGCCTTTTCGGTCACTTCGCCATAATTCCATCCCGGGAATGTGCTGAAGCTTGTTCATAAGGCAGACAGACTATGCACTGACGTATAGCCCTTCGTCAATAGCTAGCAGGTCTTGTACAACCCGGGCCTCAACTAGGGTAAATCCTGACAGAAATACATCCTCCGCGCCATGCTCAATCTCCAAAACTGGGGTAGAAACCTCTGGCGGTGGATGTATCAAAGAATTTCCAAAAACGATTGCCACCCCCTTCCCGTGGGGGTACTTCAGCATTTGGTGTAGGGTGGAAGAGACAATCTTTACCTGGTGCAGCCACGGCCGCCCCAGGAGTAGATTGAAGGTGGCCGAGACATCTAAGACATGAAAATCAATATCCTGTTGCCTTGGACCAACCTGAGTTCGAATCTGTACAATCCCCATCACCTCTCGGCTGGTATTATCATAGGCCCGTATCACCTGGGCAGTGGGCACAAAATCCACAGGCTTCAACCCGATAGCATATGTCGTTCTCGACGGACACACATTGATAGCAGATCCTGTGCCAACAAGGACCACCGGTATCCATTTCTCTCTACACTCCATAGAGATGTAGAGTGATTTGTTATGATCTGAGCCCTCAGGTTTGAGATATTTTGGGACATGCATGTAGATAATTCATGTAATTGAGCTTCCTAATGTTGTAATCTTGTATTAGTAGCATGTTAGCATGTGTAAATGTGTAAATTGAGCCATTGCATGCAAGAAATGTAGATGGAAAACCGATTTGGAGCTCAAGAACACGATCTGGGAAACCCAGATTTTTGAGGTCCGCTCGAGCGGGGTAATGGCCGCTCGAGCGGGAAAATCGTGCTCCCAGCATCTTTGCAGAGTTGGATGTCCGCTCGAGCGGGACTCTCCACGCTCGAGCGTGGATTTTTGTGGACAGGCCTTTAGCTCGAGCGCTCTATTCCACGCTCGAGCGCATATTTCGTGCAACCAGTACTTTTGCAGGCCTTAAGGGTCCGCTCGAGCGGAGAAGTTTACGCTCGAGCGGGGACCCTGGTTTCCTGGAATTTTGTTCATGCGTTCTGTGTTTCGTTTTCCGTTCTCTTTCACTCGTAAGCACTCTTAGGCATATGTTAAACATTGTAAATGAGTTAATGAGATAGAAATCAAGCCTAAAGAGAAATGTGTGCATTAAAGAACGGATTGAACGGGAATTGAACAAGGTAACGATAAAGAACAAATATCCCTTACCCCGTATTGATGACTTATTTGATCAGTTGCAGGGATCACAGGTGTTTTCTAAGATTGATTTGAGATCTGGGTATCATCAGCTGAAGGTTAAAGCAGAGGACGTTGAGAAAACCGCATTCAGAACGAGGTATGGTCATTTTGAATTTCTTGTTATGCCATTTGGAGTGACTAATGCTCCGGCAGCGTTTATGGACCTAATGAATAGAATTTTTAAAACCTACCTTGATGAGTTTGTTGTAGTCTTCATCGATGATATTTTGATCTACTCTAAAGATAAACTTGAACATGAACATCATTTGAGGACTGTTTTACAAATACTTCGGGAAAGAAAACTATTTGCTAAGTTAAAGAAATGTGAGTTTTGGTTGGATGAGGTTATTTTCTTAGGGCACGTGGTCAACAAGGAAGGAATTTCAGTGGACCCGCAGAAAATAGAAGCAATTGTGAATTGGCCTACACCAACTAATGTGACAGAAGTTCGCAGTTTCATGGGCTTAGCTGGGTACTACAGGAGATTTGTAAAGGACTTTTCGAAATTAGCTGTGCCTCTTACCCAATTGACGTGTAAGGGACAACCATTTGAGTGGAATAGTGAAAGAGAATCAGCCTTTCATGAATTGAAGACAAGATTGACCACCGCACCAATTTTAACACTACCTTCAGGTACGAAAAATTTTGTGATATTCAGTGACGCATCTTATAAGGGTTTGGGTTGTGTCTTAATGCAGAACGGAAAGGTTATTGCTTACGCCTCCCGACAGTTGAGGCCACGTGAGAAGAATTATCCAACACATGACCTAGAATTGGCTGCAGTTGTTTTTGCTTTGAAAATCTGGCGGCATTACTTGTATGGGGCAAAGTGTGAAGTTTACACGGATCATAAGAGCCTGAAATACTTCTTCACGCAGAAAGAGTTGAATATGCGTCAGAGAAGATGGCTAGAGCGGATAAAAGACTACGACCTAGAGATTCAGTACCATCCCGAGAAAGCTAATACAGTGGCTGATGCCTTGAGCAGAAAATCAACAGGGAGTATGGCTTGTTTGCTTACTGAACAAAGGGAGATTTTGCGAGACTTTGAAAAGTCTGAAATTGAAGTGGTGGTATGTGAACAGGGCGGATTGATAGCCGCTATTACAGCCGAACCGGCAATTGTTGATGAGATCAAGCAGAAACAGAAAGAAGATGAGCTCCTCAGAAAGTTAATTGATGAATTTGAAGTAAGCCCAAAAGCATAGTACAGTGTCGAGAATGGAATGTTGAAATTTCGAAACCAAATATGCGTTCCTGATATCCCGGAGCTAAAGAAGAGGGTTTTAGATGAAGCCCACAGATCCGTATTTGCTATGCATCCGGGTAACAATAAAATGTATCGGGATTTGAAACAAACCTACTGGTGGCCTAAAATGAAGAAAGAGATAGCAGAATTTGTGACAAGGTGTTTGGTATGTTAGCAGATTAAAACAGAGCATCAACGCCCAGCTGGTTTACTTCAACCTCTTCCTATACCTAAATAGAAATGGGAGCATATCACCATGGAATTTGTTTCGGGCTTGCCTCGCACACAAAAGGGGCATGACTCTATTTGGGTGGTTGTAGAGAGGTTGACCAAATCAACATACTTTTTGGCTACTAAGAAAAACTTTTCACTTGATTGATTAACAAAAATTTATGTGGATGAAATTGTAAGATTGCATGGTGTGCTGGCAACTATTGTTTCAGACAAAGACTCGTCCTTCACATTCCACTTTTGGCCTAGTCTTCAAAATGCCATGGGTACTAGATTGAGATTTAATACAACTTTTCACCCCCAAATCGACGAGCAATCCGAGAGGACAATCTAAACTTTAGAAGACATGTTGAAAGCTTGTGTCCTAGATTTTTGAGGTAGTTGGAATGAATACTTGACATTAATAGAATTTGCATATAATAATAGCTATCAATCAAGTATTGGAATGGCTCCCTATGAAGCTTTATATGGGCGAAGATGTAGAACTCCAGTATGTTGGGATGAGGTTGGAGAGAGAAAATTGTTAGGGCCAGAGATTGTTCAAATTACTACCAATAAAGTGCATATTATTCGAGAAAGGTTAAAGGCGGCTCAAAGTAGACAAAAGAGCTATGCAGATAATCGAAGGAGAGATTTGGAATTTCAAGTGGGAGATCATGTATTTTTACGAATCTCGCCATGGAAGGGAGTGATGCGATTTGGTAAGAAAGGCAAACTAAGTCCAAGGTATATTGGGCCATTTGAGATATTAGAGCGCATTGGCAAGACTGCTTATCGTTTGGCCTTACCACCTAGTCTATCTCGCATTCACAATGTGTTTCATGTATCCACATTGAAGAAGTACATGCCTGACCCATCACACGTGTTAGATTTCCAACCAATCCAACTCAAGGATAATTTGTCTTATGAAGAGGAAGCCATAGAGATTGTGGACATGAAGGATCAAGTACTACGTTCCAAGACCATACCACTAGTAAAGGTATTGTGGAAAAATCATGCTTTGGAGGAAGCTACTTGGGAGCGGGAGGATAATATGAAAATTCGATATCCACATCTTTTTCAAGATATGAACTAGACTAAATAAATAAATAAATTTCGTGGACGAAATTTTCCTTTAGGGGGGTAGAATTATAATATTCCCAACTTTTCATCTAGAGCCAAACACACTCCTATGTTAAACTCCATTTAGGATATCTAAACCCAACTCCAAACTTGATGGTAGGTGTAACCAAACCCCCCATTTCAA